CTCAAACTTAAGCAATACTAGCCTTGCTGTTTTGGCCAGAGTTGACTAGTCGTTATGATTCAGATGCTACCTTCTGTGAGAAGCCCTCCTTACTATATAGATCAGGAAGCCACTGTGTCACTGTGACCTGAAGCATAGAGTCAATAATCATAAAGCAAAGAATTTAAATTCAATTTACTTTAAGGATCAAAGTCATCCAAGTGTTTTGCCGATTCAAGACTTTGAACTCCAAGAAAATAAATCAAGCATTCAAGCATTTGGAGAAGGTGATGAACGGAGTTTACAAAAATTAAACTGTTGTGGACTATTGTGGAAGTCCAAGATGAAGGGTTAAAAACCAGATTATCAACAGAAAATAGAACAGTAGTTGTCAGAGTCTGAAGCACTGATTCAGACTTTGAAGCCCCCAAGTTGCACGCTGGTAGAAGCCAGGCCATCATGCTGGAGGAAGTATCACATTGCACATTCATTGTTCCTGCATGCCTCAAAGCAGCTGTTCTGTCAGGCAGGGTGCCAGCCTGCACAGAGCTTGGCTTGACCCGGTGTGGCACTCAGGGTCTCTCTGTACCAAGAAAATCCACTAGTATAAAATCCAGATGACTTTAAAATATTTCTAAGAAGGCAGAACCACCATGTGCTAGGAAATAACTTCAGTCCCTGACTTCCTTCACTGTTTAGAGACCCTTAAAACTTTTCATTGTGTTGTCTGATCTAATGTTAATGCATCAGACACCATAGGACCGAATAACTGAAACTACTCCTTTCTTGCATAAAGTCAGCTATTTTGTATTAATTAAACAGACCAAAGATGGTTTCAGAAAACATGTTGAAGTTTTGAGTTTAAGCATGATGCCAAGATTTTCTTTTTTTCCTGCAACTCCACACCACAGCATTGGGGGAGGAGTAGCACAGGAATGTTAAACACCAGAAGGACTTCAACTACAGTGTGTTGTTTGATCTGAAACAGAATTATAACTCACTGTCACAATAAAACTTGCTTACACACTGAAAAACATGTGCAACCTCTTGGCTGTTCTTTGTCACACCTCAGGACTGACTGACGTAATTCATGAAGCAGAACATTTGAAAAAGCTCAGCAGTTTCCTCCTCTTTTCAGTGAGGAAACATTTCTATCCTACACTTGTTTTGTGGCAGTTTGATAGAGTTTATTAGCTGCAGAAGAGCACAAGTTCAAAGATGCTCTTTGCCACGCACAGTCATCTCGAAATACCAGGGTGATCAGAAGCCTGCTGCAGCAAAGGAAGACCAACACCTCTCACCGGCAACAGCTTATTTGGGTGATTGTGAAGAAACTCTAAGTAGGCATAGATACTGTATTCTGCTGTTCTACAACTCATACAACTAATCTTGCATACATAACTCAACAGGAGAAAGTAATTTTGAGTCCTTAGGGGCTGAAAACAGCTATCATATTTTGTTATCTTTTCCTACAGTCTTTTCCACTTGTTTTTACAGCTGTCTTCATGTTCTAGAAGGTCTGAAGTTTCACAAGTTTGTATTTCAGCTTCAAGTCCAGAAAAAGATCCTTCCAGAATTTAGCACTATGTGACAGCTAAATGGTGTACAGCAGTTTGCCTGATCATTTCATTCTACTTCTACATGTGAATTACTCATTTTACTGAACATTAATGTAGCATTTTCCAGATATATATAACGTAGTATAACAGCAAATTGAAGATATGACATTCTTTTCCAAGAGGGCATAAAATCCGAAACAGAGGGGGAGTAGTAAAGTGTGAAGGTCTGTGGAAGAAAAAAACAGTTCATGTTAAGAGCTGCCCAATTTTTTTCCTTCTTTTAAATAAAGGCGTAAATTAGAATATTAGAGGCAACAGTGGCAGGAGCAAACCATGAATAAGTACAGAAACTAAGGATAGATTAATAATCTGAATTTACTCACCTATGAGTTCTAATCTTAAAAATCAATGACAACAGGAACTTCACTTTCAGAATTAAACTTCTGATTTTTGAGCACTTAGATTTAGCAAATTAGTAGGGCCTGAAGCAACAACCACCAAGTACATTTTCTAGAATTCAGCTAGCAAAAATCAGTTCACTAATGCAAAAAATCCCTCCAGACCAAAACCACCTTTCATCCCTCCCTTTCTCCTGCTAGAGCTTCACCCAACCACAGCTATTCCAAGATCTTCATTCACATACAACAGCACCTGCTTCAGGTTGAAGTAAAAAAGTAATTTAGTTCTGATCGATTTGAGGGAATTCCTAGCTGAGAAACCTTGAGCAACTTTGGCAGGTGTTTTGCTCACCTCTCAGGACTTGAGAACACTGGCTGCAGATCCAAAGCTGAAGACCTGGAACTTCCCTCTTCATGCCGTTGTGGCTCCAATATACCACAGCAGTATAAAGTAATAACTCTCCATTCGCAGCTCCTTCAGATCTATCATAATAAGGTCAACTACAACTTAAGTTCTCCACAAGCAATATCTAATTATTGACCTGGTTTTGAGCCATCATCTTTTTAGGAAGATTTGAGGACATCAAAATATTTGCAGGCAAGCTTGGAACAAAAATCCTTAAAAGCACTTGTTTTCAACATAGGTCTTTCATAAACTTAGAAGTGAATTTGAAATCACAGAAAAAAGTATTTTTGGAAACAATAAGCAGCCATCAAGATACATGAAAAAGAGGTCTTACTGAGCTTCCCCTTATTGTAGTCCTGATCTTCACTGAGCTATACGCAAATATAGGACACATCCACATCTCCTTGTATGATACTTCAAAACAAGTCTCCTGTAGTATTAGCTTATAATATTTTGCACAGCAGCAATTTTGTTTAAGTTCAGAGAAAAATGTTTAAGACCACAATATAACTTTCAAAGCATATACATGTGCCAGGATTTGGGGCATGGGGAGGAGGTAGGCTAGGAAGAAATATAAGACTTCTGACAGTGTAATGGGTAAGCAATCTGTCATTCTAAAAAAAACCCAACATTTCTTGAAAACTTAACTCAATTTTTACTTCAAATGATTTCAGTATTTGCCTAGCTTTTAAACAGATGTTTTCATTAAAGTTTAGCATGTTTGAAAACTGATGTATTTCCAAACTATACTTTGTGCCTTTGATTAAATTCGCAGTAGTATCTTTACAGGAAGATTCTACTGAAAGAGCTGGAAAAAGCCATCAGGCCTTGACACTTTAGAATGAACTTTGTTGCATAAACTACTCAGCTTATCGTAAAAACATCATTTCAAAATAGGTCTCACAGGAAGAGAGTTATCAAGACTGGTTGAGTATTAGTTTCATGTACTCTTCAATTCAGCAGCAAACCTCAAGAGCCAAAAAACTTTCTATAGATACGAGCTGTATCAGGTGCTCTCTATACACACTATTATATGGATTATTTAGAAGGTATAACATTTGAGCAACTGAAACCATTCTGCCAATCTGAAATACTGCATGTCACCTCTTGAGCTTGAAGAATGAAAGCAGCAAGTCTAGCCAAGAAAGGAACAGGTTTTTAATTTTACATTCCATTTAAACAAGGAAACCTGCATTAGACCACATGGACAGTTGAAAGGCAAAGCCACTAATATTTCTGGAATAGATTAGCAAACTAATCTCAGCAGCGATTAACACCAAGAAACAGGTAAAATCTGAATAGGTGACTAGTAAACTTGCATCATATCCAAAATTCAGAAGAGTATCTAGTCCTTTCTAGAACAGAACTGGTTACCAACCTTGTCAGTAAGCACACAAATCATGTGGTTTGCCAACCAATTAGCTACCCCACAGCTTCAACAAAAAAAGCTTTTAAAGAAGAAAATCCTTTAAGCTTGAAGTTGTCTCCAAGGTGTAAGAGGACAGATGCCATCATACAGATTTTTAGCTAAGCAAAGTAGACAAACTAGTTAACTTAGTGAATATGCCAGGTAGCAACAGTTCAGTTCCAATAGCTTCCTAGTACTTCTCACACATTTCTATGTAAAGCCTACTAATACCAAGGTACCACAGTCTGGACATTTTAGCCACCATTCTATTCAGCTTTTCTTTTGCACAGTGTATCACATACAGCGACACTGGTGCAGAACTATTTCCTTTTCTTACATTCTTATTGCAACTTCTGCAAACTGCCTCCTCCCCACTACTCTTAAGAGATCTACTCACAGAAACCTCCCAAGTCTGGTATCTACTGAAAGCAGTAGGTTTAAGTTCCCACAAGCATGAAACATTCTCTGATCCTAACATAAGACTCAGTTTTACATCTACAGAAACTAAGCAAGCATCTTCAGTTTTAAACTGTAGCAGTTGCTTCTGTGGACACAAACTTTGAAAAATGAGCTGTGCATTTCTACTACATGCAAAGTGTAGGTATGAACTGAAGTTTACTAGCTTTTAAATCAGCACCTTTATTCTCACATGAGGAAAGCAGCATTCTGAATAACTGAAGTAAAACACCTTCCATTGAGCTGGAACATTTGCACTTGCCATATTAGAACACTATTTCTATTTCTGACTGGTTATTAGCAGTTTCTTTAGTTAAGTCATTTATATAGGGGTTTGCTTACTCTTATTTAAGCTTTATGGAATTACTCAAACTGTAAGGGGAGGCTTAACCAAGCAGATATGCACCAAGATGACTCAGAAATCATTGCATGCTATTCTCTGGGAACACAGTGGCATAAGTTTTCCACTACCCTGTCTACCACCTTGTCCCCATGGCTTCCTTACATTTCAAAAACAAGCCATTTTTCTTAGGCCTCTGCTTCAAGAACCTTTTCATAGCTCTTCGTATGCTGTATCAAGTAGACTGGACTTCAAGAACTGGGTTTTGGGAGCAAAAGGTAAATAAGCTGCTATAGGGTATAGCACTGGCAAGTATAAGCAGGCTGCTATACTGCTGAAGGTGATATATCAGTACAAGAACACAAGCAAATCTAACTACAAATTAGTTCAGTTTATCTAGAAATAGCCTTTCTGCAAGAATTCCCTTCACACACTGAGGAAAGCAAAATCTCACCCGTGTCATTTTAAAAAAGTCTAACGATGGTCTGTTCCATCGTACATCCTCCTCCCGTCTGCGCTTTAGCCGGCTTTTCTTTTCATTCAGAACACAAGGCTGAGAGCGGCATCTCAACAAGCCCTGACGCCGGCTGAGCTCGGGTGTGGAGGTGGGAGTGCTGTTGGCTGAAGGCAAGAGATTTCCCGTCTCTGTGATGTGCTCCTGGGAGAGGGAGAGGCGGCGCCTTGGGTTAAAGTCACAAGGGCCTCCAGAATTCCAGCGGGTACTCGAGCTTGTGCTGCCCTCGCTACTGTCCACAAACCCACTGCTGGCAGAGGAAGGTCTGGGTACTGGTGACGTGTTGAAGCTGGTGATAGTGAAGACGTTATTTAGCGACAGTATGTTTTGTGGCAGACTGATACTTGTGCTTCTCTGTAAGGTTGCACTTCCATGACTGTTGCAGCGTTGCAAAGTAGCACTACCACCACTATTACACCGTCTCTTTGACACGGGAGTCCAAACCTTTGAATTGCCAGGCTTCCACGGTGACCGACAGCGAGCCAGCTCATCTGGCTCAGAGAGGGACCTACAATGGCGTTTTGTTGGTGGTGCCAAGGGTTGACCCGAGTTTTCATTAAGGTTTAATTCACTTATCCATCCTGACACCATAGATGTACTGGAAGATTCCTGCTGCCACTGCAGACTACCATTACTGGCAGTGCCGGTGCTGAATGGGCACACTGGGAAAGGGTAAGCCGAATTCCTTGTTGTGTCAGTTTGGATTGGGCAACCCCCATTTAAAGCTTTCCAAGGACTCTCTTCTGAAAGTAAAAAAAGGATACAGGTGAAAGATGCAAAGGAAAAAGACAATTTGTTTTAAACCTTGTTTAATATGAAATCATGAATCAAGCTTACAAGGATAAGCCACAACTAACTAGCTCTCAAGCAAAGTTCCACACTATAGTTACACATTCTTCTTTTTAAAGGTAGAAAAATCACAAAAACATGAAGACCAAAGTATTTCAGGAGCCAATCCAGGAATTCCAGTACATGTACAGCTTGTTAATGCTTCTTCCTGTATACTGAAAGATTACAGCACTGTGTTTCTTAGCAAGAAACACAGACAGCTTTTTCCTTACCTGCTTCCTAACGCATAGCATATACCACAGTTAAAACCTGTAACAGCAAGCAACCTAACGTACAACCAAAATGGATTAACAAATAATGTGAGAACCCACCGGGGATCTTTTATTAATAAAAGAACAGGATAATCTCTTCATACTGCTGTCCTTCATTTGACTGTTATGCTTTTCTATTAAGAATATCTTACTAAAGAAAAGTTTCAAAGAGATGGGCGTTCACATTCTATAGTGTGAAAAGCTTTAAATTAGAAATAGTATAAAGTTAAATCAGACTGCAGATTGTTTCCTTTTTTTGCTCATGAAGTGTAGGGGGAAAAAAAAAATCCTAATTCAATGCATAAAGTGAGTATCCCTCAAGAACCTCCTGCGAGCTTTACTGTGAATACAGACATAACCCATAGCGCACAACTTCTCATCTGAAGTGGCAGTGCTGGGTTAAAAGCAGTCTGTCAGCGAAGCCTCTCACTCTTTTGTAAAGCGTTTCTTTGAGAACATTCTGCACATTTTACAGCTGTTCCTCCACATTATACAATGAAGTGTAAGAACTACAGCAGACTTTGGATTTGCAAGTTGAAAAGCAGCAAAACTGTTGGCCAGTTAACAGTGCTTCATGCTTGGTTAGAAAATTTGCTAATTTAAACCAATTAGCCAAGTAAGTTTCACTTAGCACAGCTTTAAAGAGAGAGTATTTAAAAAAACAGGTTTTTTTCTCCTACACCTCTTTTAAGAGCCTAGATATAGCCTAAACATCAAATACTCATATATTCTTATAGTTGGCTGTCTAAACTAAGATTTAGAGTAATAATCAGATAAAAGATTTGCTGAGTAGCTTTAAAAGTTGCAAACCCAAATAGTTGTACATGTTCCATGCCCAAAGTATGTCATGGATTATCCTGTTTATTTGGATCTTATTTAAAGAACACCCTATTGTCTCAAAATCATTTAACTGTGCAGACAGCTGGCCTATTCAAACAACATGTTTTATTAGAATTCCTCTGTCCTTCCTCCTCCATTCTTTCAGATGGGTACAACCACATACTGTGCTTTGCCTTAAGCATGTAAGCTCTTCAAGGCAGGGACCATCCATAATTCAATGCAAGTAAAATAGCCAACACAATGGGATCCAGATAATGTTTGAAACTCCTAGCATCTACTGTAGCACAATTTGCTAGCTTAGACTGGCCTAATTTTTAAAAATCCATAGGAAACTTTCTCCCAGGCTGGGAGGCTGGTTCAAAGGTTACTGTAAAAAGAAAAAAGTAAGAGTTTTACATGTATTTTAACTGTTTACATGATAATGGTATTTAAGAAAATACTTAAGATGAAATACCATTTCCTTTGAAACCTCACACAAACCAAGTTTCACATTTTACAGGGAATCCCACTGAGCAAATAAAAATCCTCCATGCTTGAAGACACGACAGAACATGCAAAATTTCAAGTCTGTCCCTTAACAAAGCAATAAAGAGTTTACGTATCAATAAGTGTAATTTTAATTTTTGCTAGATACAACTTTACTCCTCTAATAGAACCAAGGGGGGGAAAGCAAGTATCCCATGTATGGAGGCAATGCATTTCACCTTATGGTTTGCATTATGCTGGATATTCTATGTGGCAAAGCATGTAAGGAGGTGTGTAAAGATGTGACAGCCTTCCGCTAGCTGAGGAACCTGAAGAGATGTTTAGCATGAAAAACAGCACTGCTGCGCTTCTGTACGCCATAGCAGATATTGAACCAAAAAATGTTACAAGGGCTTTTACTATGCAAAGCAGATCACAAGTACAAAACTAACAACCAGCTATTCCCAGTATTGTTCAAAGACCAGCTTAAACCAGCAGGCTCTACAACAGCATGCTCCATCCCCCTCACCTTATTTACAAAAGAAAAGCTGCTTGCTATACCAATTACCTCAGTAAAACACAGCTAAATTTTCTGAAGAACTTACCGTTGATTTCGAAGGGAAACAAGCTGCCACTTTTGTTCAGCTTCTCAGATGAGTACTGAAATTAATCAGAAAAAAAATTTTTTTTAACTGTGTGAAAGAGCATACACCTCAAGGAAACGGCATGCAGTTTTCAGTTTCCCTATATGTCCATTTAACAATGCCTTTAAAAGGACAGGGGTTTGCTGCATATCTTGAGAAAATTCCTGAACAGCTGATCTTTCTAAACAAAACTTCTGTCATTTATTTGTAATGTTCTCTGATATATTGCTAAGTGGGAAACTGTTTCAAGAGTTGCAACATTACCCCATGTGAATAAACTGCAAAATAAAGAGTGATAATTCACCCTTAATGAAAAAGCTTTGATCCAATTCTCATTTCAGTGGAAAGGAAATTAGTCTGACAATTGGGTTTACATTTTCAGTCTTAAGGATAAAAAAGCAAAACAATTCATCTTAAACTAAGAGACAGGAATAGCTTTATTTAAATTAAATATACACACTCTTAAGGGTCCCCAGAATAAGCATTGCTCAAATCAGCCTTTACTAGTATTTTACACTTTCTCAATCAGTGTAGCAAAATGTTTTATTTCTTAAAGTACAAAAGTCATTAAAAAAAATATTTACTAACCAGAAGTCACTTTCTGCAGACTCACAATATTTGAAATCACAGTTTACTGGTGATGGTTCACTACTCCGAAACCGTGTAAAAGCCATGCTTAAAACATTTGCATGTAAAGGGTTTCAGAATTTATGATTAAGCTTTGTCAATGGCATCTGCACAGTAAGACAAGTTTGAATGCAAAATGTCTTCCATTTTCCTAAGTAATTTTACTTAGAAAATATTACTAAAGGCATTCGTAAATAGTCTACATTTTTCAGACAAAAAACAGAGCTTGCTACCCAGCCTCCTAAAGAGGAGTTATAAATAAATGGCTTAAGGCTCCATCAGAGCCCAAGGGCCATTATTTATTCCCTCACCACCACACCTCAGGATGAAGAGGAAGATTGCTTTAAAAAAAGAGCAACACATTTTATGTGAACATTGTGTTTTGTGTATAGCCAAAGAAGATAGCATTGTACATATACTTCCTTCCCAGATACAAAGTCAATTTTTAAACAAACATCCTTGGGGTACAAAGCTTTTGTTTCTTGCTGTATAGCAACACAGAGTGCTAGTGACAACTTTATACCCTTGAGGTGATGTATAAGATACAAATAGTAAGCTATAGTAATACTCCCTTGGTCTTATTGTTTTAGGGGTAGGAAAGAAAGGATAAGACAGCAATCAGATTTTTAAATAAATAACTGTATATGAGACAAGCCATTTGATTTTTATTTTACATTGCATCCACAGATGCATTTATAACTTCCTTTTAAAGGAGGCTACTTTAAGTAGATAGCAGAACCCCAAATTTGAATCTCCATCCAATTTGCGGTTAATTAGCCCTATTCATCTAAAGTCTGTAACTTGACAGCAGTAGCAGTAGTCACTTTTACTAGTTTGCTTTTCATAACTGCGCTTGCCAGTTATATAGAACAGGCATTAAAAAAAGCTAGTATCAATCATTTAAATAGCTACTAAGGTATCATAGAGAACACAAAAGCACATTAAGGTAACAGTTACATTTCAGCTGCCCCTGAAGGAGAAACAAACAAATTAAACAGACTTAAAGATAAGGTTTTTCAGCAAATTGCTCACTCTCCAGCTTTCCCCAAAATGAAAGGCAATACCAATCTATTCAACTATCAGATAGTAGCTAAGAAAAATATGGTTTTGGAACAGAATCCTATGTCAAAAAATATTAAAGCTAACTATCTTGAACCACATGGAAAAGGGCAGTGAGAATGACTTGAACACCCCTAATTATTATGTTATGATTAAAAGACTATTCACACAGGCTAAAATCCTGGATGCTTAGAAGGACTAGAGCCTCAAGGATAATCCCATGCAGCAATTATTAGATTGATACTTGAGTTTTTACAATTAGTTTTCAGCCAAACGCCTCTTTAACAATGTCCTCTTTCCAAATGTCTCAGTTAATTATCTGAGCTTTAACCACCCTAAAAAGCCTTGTTCAGCGGAGGGACTAAACTACATCTTTGACAGCTGTAAAGCACTGAAAGCATTTTTCGAGGGGGGCAGGAAAAAGTGAGACCATACACACACCGACTATCTGTACTACAGAGAACAACTGCAATGTTCTCCAACACAGACAGCAATCCCATCCTCAGAGCTATTTCTCATCAGCTTCTAGTGAAGTCAGTGCTCGGTTCTATGACAAAGCAGATATTACAACTACAATTTGTTCTCTCAAGTGATCATTTATACAGAATCCTGTTAAATTACAAAAAAGTGCTAATTCTTTGGAGATTCAGACCAAAAGCCCTCACTAAGAATGTTGCACATGATACCATTTGCAGAAAAGGGACAGTTGCAGTATCTCCAGTAAGAGCTCAAGGCACTGAAATAAGGGGTGACTAAGGGGAGAATAAAGAATCTCCTTCATGACATACCTGGCTTTCTGCAACTGAAACTAAAGATACTGGAGAACACTATCTGGTATTGTATTTTAATAATGTCTGGAAGTCAAAACTTGAGTAGACTATCAGGCCATAAAGCGTTTATAGGAGGGAAGATCTTTTTATCTATACAGCACATGGCAGAAGTCCCACTAGATATTACGGTAACAGGGCACTGAACCAGTTTATCAGCTCTCCTGAGCTGGCTATGCTCTACCCTCTCCCATTCATTCCTTTTGTGCTATGATCTACCTTAAGCTTCCTGAATGAAGAGCTCTTATGATTACACTCAAGAAGATTGCAATTACTAAGATCCTTGACAGGGAAGTCTGCTACCTTCTGAGTGAAGGAAATCTTCCTTAGAATAAGGCCAAATTATTTAACAAGGTCATTTTTATGAAAAGGAAACTCAAGGCGTCACGCATGTCCACCTTCCAACTCCTACTTTTTGAATAGATGTTAAAAAAAAAAAGAAATCAAGATCCGATGCCTCCTCAGAGCATTCTGTGGAAAAAAACACCACCATACTTTAAGATAGACATACACAAAACAATAAAGCTACAAGTTTCAGTTAAAGTTGGGATTGTTTACTTCATGCAAGAAAGTATGGGTTTTTTAAACGCTTGTTCAAAAGTAGAACCTCTTTTGTGCATATGGAGAGACTATGCTCAAAAGGAACAGAATTGCATAGTATGACATTTAGGACAGCACTGAAAGTTTCAACTGGTTTACTGAGTCTTAGCAGCTGTTCTTTCGTTAAAATATTCACTTAGACACCTAGTCTTGAATTGAGTCAATGAAAGAGGCACACAAGCGAGACTGACGATGAATTATAATTTACATCACTAATTTAAAAAGTGTATTTTTCAAGCAAAAACCCAACTGTAAAAAATAATTCTGGCTATTCTACATACACTCTAATCTCCTAAAATAAGAACATAACAGACTGCGCTATCCTCCTCATTCTCGGAATGACTTCTTGATCTTCATAATTTTAAAATTAATTTCTTTAATTTCAAGGCATTTTCTCCAGTTTTCAAGTACACAGGAGTTCCTCCAATTTATCAGCATTCTTCCCAAATCACAGGAAAACCAGAATTTATTATTCAAGAACTAATTTAACACCACCATACCAGTGTGAATTCCACTGTTTGAGGAGGCCACGCCAGACCTCCACCTCTTCCAAATATGACTCTAATAGGAAGTAGAGTGAGGAGAAGCAGTTGACCTTTTCTCAGAATATTAAAAAGTGATTAAGTCACATCTTAGACTCAGCCCTCAAGACTTTCCGCTAGTGACTCTCCATTCAAGGAAGTCAGCCCAATTTCAAGTCTTTCAACACAAGTCAGCTTCACAAAAATTAAAAATAATGAAAACCCACATGCACTGAAGGGGATTATAGTAGGGGTTCTTCCTTCCACAAATGCTTGTCTGGAGATGCTCATATTTGCTTCTTAATACCACACCTCGAAGTTTTGCATCTCCCACACTGTTACTTCTCACACCAATACTAGCTACTACATGAATAATCCAGAAAGTACAAGTTTAGCCAAAACATATAGAAAAAACTTCAAGACTCTTAAGATTCAAGAGATCTATGCTCAAGGAAACGGAGATCAAATTCTTGATTTAATAATGCTGTCAACTTATGAAAGCCACAACATGCTCACAGAACATCTCACTATTGTGAGGTAGAGTCATCCAACCAGAGATACTATTCTACCTGAAGAGCCACTTGAGATAAAAGCCTGGGACAACCTTCCTGCTTCTACAGCAGGAAACTCAACTATTTGGGGGTTTTTTTCTGAAGGCAGATGCAGCACAAGACTAAATTATCATGCACTAGCTGAATAAACTACACCAGCTTGGAAAATTAGCATGTTGCTTAACAGAGCAGTAAAAGAAGCTACAGCCAGTATTTTACAACATACTCAAGCAACAGGTAAAGAAGGGTACTTGGTCATCATACAGCTTACACAAATGAAAAAGTATACTATATCCTACACATAGTCTTTACACCCAGCTTGGCTAGCAGGAAAGTAAACAGTTTTGAAAGAGCTATTCTTTCTTTCTTTTATAACCCTCATTTACGAGCTGTATTACAGAATAGCTTTCCCCAGATAATTTATCTACTTGTGCCAAGACGTGCACTTGTGCAGATGCACTGTGAAAAGTTATCATGAAACTGATAAAGGTTAACATTAATCCAGGCAAGAAAGGTTAGTCTTAATCCTCAATCAGCTCAGAAAATGATTCACCACATGGTCCCACAGAACTTTGTGCCAGCACAAGTAATGAAAGGTACAGGCAAAACCATTTCAGAATTGCTCTAAATTGCTGTTGCTGTTAGAAGAAAATACAGCATTAACCTGAACTTCTTGCCAACAAGTCTAAATGTGCTAGAGCTGATTCAAGACCCCCACTAGCAGTCTTCCCTTATTAAAGTTTAGCAGCTGTCTTTACTAGTGGAAAAACTTTTTATTATCTTAGGTTCACGTTTTAATCAAGAAGTCATCATGTGCTCCCATAAATCCTTTTTAGTAGGCAGCAACCTAGTTAGTTGTACACTTTTATTCACACTTGCTTTTCCACTTCCACACCTCACTTCACGATTTCCACACTTTTTCAAGCTGCCATTGTGTATAAACAGAACCTGTTCCTGGCCCCAGAACCCTTTTTCTGCAAGAACTACAGTATTTACAAAACCAGTTACTTGACAGATTAAAGGAGGACAGAAGCAGGAGAAGGGTGAGGACAAAACCACCCATGAGACATCATCTGCCATTTTCTACTGCACTCTTTCATGTTTTATTGTAAGTACAGATAAGGACAGGAATAAAGAATAACCAACCTACAATACATCACAGCATGGCAGCACACTCCTGTATAGATTCCACACAGTATAAAAGCAGTAATACATCCTCCTGATTTTACAAGGCTAGTCCAAAACCTACAGTGACTATAAGTAAAAGGAGAGCTCAGTTTCCAAATTTATGCAAACTTTAGTGCCTAAAACAAACAGAAATAAAAGATACCATTACAAGTTGGGGCAAGCACCACCACTGGTTACAGACCAGTGGCTCACACCTAGGCCCATAGTTTAGTTACAAGTGATGAGTTTGCCATTTCAATAATACAGCAGATTCTCCTACAAACTGCATAACCCAAGTGCTTCATCAAGCTAGCTGAAATAAATGCAAGCTGAGTAAGCACTTATTTTCTAAGACAGTTAACATCATACCAAGACTGCATATCTGCTTTTCAAGATTAGAACATGTTTTTACTATCTTCACCTTAAATAAGTTATTAGAAGAACTCTAAATGGACCTGTTACAGTTTTCAAATTAAAACCATTTGATTAATGTCTACTATTAGACATCCTTACTGGACAAAGGGTCAAGTATTTCGCATATGAGAACTGCAGGTGCTTGTGCACAAACTCCACCACATTCAGGATATGTTTCACCTGGTGTGGGCTTGTGCAGTGAATAACCAAGCAGTTCAGCTACTTAAGTTACAATAGAGGCAGCAACTTACTGCTAAAGTAACTGAACATGCTTCATGTTCAATGCTTGCATCATTTACTATTTAAAAAAAAATACAGAACTAGTGTTGAACATTTAGTTCATTTTGACATTCAAATTAATTTTTTTTGGTGTTCCACAAGGCTAGCGCATTACATTACCCAGGGTTCTCAGATGGGCATGCAAAATTGACAGAAGACTATTTTTGCATTACTCTAGAGTAGATAATAGGTCTTTCCACAAGTGAGATGTGGAAAGAATCGATTCCTTAATGTCCAAACAGCATGCTTGAACCACAACAATGGACCCACATATTAAACCAGCAGAAAATAACCCAGTAAATATTACTATTTTTTTCAGAGCACTAGGCATCTGACACACTGAAAAAGCAAGGATCTACAAGCATCAATAACAGTCTGGTAGTTAGTAACCTGACTTTCCTTTCAATTGTATTTACCTGATGACCTGTTCTTATGCTCTGTGCTGATAGTTACATACATGGTGGTCACTGCTTTTTCTAAGTAAATACTGTTGTCAGATATAAAGCACTTGGATATATGAAGCGAGGAAAGCTTCACTACACAGCAGTAGTTGTGCTTTTTGTTATGGAAAAAGGAATCCTGGGATGTTTTGATAATTCTTTTCAGTCATTAGAACACTTTGTGAAGAGAACAGGCTTTTTGCTTGTTATTTAACATGAAGCTGTAAGGTTAGAAAGATCACTGAAATAAAGCATCCCTTCAAGAAAGGCCATACACTGAAGTTTCACTTTTTCCCCTTACAACTCATTCACCTTGCAAACTAGTCCTAACTTAAATGGCTTAATTCTGGCTGATCTACATTCTTGAATCTTTTATGTAGTTTTAAATTACTTTAAATCTACTTCACATTTTCACATTTACATGTTATTTTAGTAGATCCTTACCAGATTAATATTGTATGTTTTACACCTCAGATCATCCAAGCTCTGGTTCTGCAGCTTTTCTGTTATTAGTGTTACCATGGTAGTTGTTCCTTTTCCACTGCTCACACAGAAGTGTTGGAGGCTCTTCGGTCTCTTGTTTCAATACTCATGAGCCATTTCTGTTTTGGTTTAAAGTCTTGATATTTACGCTTCCATCTTATTGCCAAAGTTTATTTCCAAATGCTGTCAGTGTATCATGTCTGGTTTTCTGTAAAATTGGGGCAGAAAAAAATAAGTCAGAAAAATTCTTGTGTACATCGTAATTAGCATTGTAATAACAGGACTTGTTTGGACCATTCATTCGTGCCAAGTATACCACTCTGACCAACGCTACCCCCTGGCATTTCTGATAACATGTCTATTCATGGAAGAATACTCCACTTGAGGTTTCATTGATTACAACTTCAGAAGGGAAATAAGACTCATACATAGCAGAGATCAGGATACTATTTGGCCACTTCTTACCGCTAAACCAATTCTACCTAAGATTTTTATCCAAGGCAGAAGGAAAGACTTAAGCTTTCCCTCATTTGAGCTACTACTGAAGTCTCAACCAGGCATACTAGAACAGCATCTGAAACATACAGAACAGTGTGGTGGGTATCTGCATGTTTTAACACTATTTACCATTTTAAGACATTCTACCATATTGTTTCATCTCCAAACCCTTCTTAAAAGAAGAGTGGAACAGAGGGTAGCTCAAATGTTCTATACACTTTCCAAAACCTCAGCTACTCTTAAATCCTGTTTTTTTTCTGGTTTAAAGGTTATGTAATTTCTACCTGTCAGCAAACACCAGATCTTAAACTTGTAAGCAGGACAGATTACCATACACGTAAAAGCATTAATGACAAAAGCTTACTTATCTTTGTTCTGTGAGCAGTCATCTAAACCAAAAGCTGCCTCTTTCCATCCTAAACATCCCCTACATAATTTCTTCCCTTCTCTCTCTTCCCTCAGCATCACTAAGCCTTAATTGCTGCAATATATCATTCTTCACTGTCTTTCAAGTCTTTATTGGTTGGTTATTTTTACCACAGCAAATGGACCTTTCTACTTTCCTTAACTCCACATCATTCTTCCAGTTCTCAAGAAGAACTAGAACAAAACCACAGGACTTCAGCTTCTTCATTTTCCTTCTTCTATCAAGTCTTTCAGGCTCACCAGTTCTGAAATTCACTTCCAGTTTCCAAAACCAAGTCTACATTAATATTAATTACAATTTCTTCACACTACCTTCATTGACCTTTTCTTCCCATCACTTTGCCTTACTGTAACAAAAACATCTTTTCTCAACTCATGCTGATGATCCATTAGTGTTATGCATTAGTCATTCTTGTTTATAATTTAAGTTGGTCAACCATCTTCAGTGACTGCTTATGGAATGAAAAAAGGGAAGAGATCCACACACAGGCATTTTGAAATTTAAGCAAAGCAACATGAGCCTTGGGCAAGGAGCACAGTGGCTGCTAGAACCAGAAGTTTACTTTCATTTGCTAGGCTTTAAAGTCTACGGTAAAAAGAATAGCAGAAAATAATAATTTTAAATTAATGTTTCCATAAAATATTGCCTCTTTTCCACACTGCTGTTTATCAGCCATTTAAGTAACTGGTAGTAGGAAGAAAAAAAAGCCACAAATATCTGTGACCCAAGTTAAACCCAACTGAAATTAAGATATTAATAGTATTAACAGTAATGTTAGATTATCTTTTAAACCTGTTGCCTTTGAGTACATCCTCAGATATGCTTTTCATATGTTAACCATACACTATTTCACCTTCACAGAAGTCTGCTATGTAACAGCTTCCCTTAGCCTTAGAGCTGTCCCATAATCATAATTTGTGCCCATCTTTAGGCCTCTTCCTCACATCTACTTTTATTTGCTATACAATATGATGCTTACAAGTGCTCTTTAACCATAAATCATACTACCCAGGTATCTGTAAATTCCAGTGATCTATTTTTACCGAACGTGTCCTGTCATTCAGGAAAGCACCCAACAACTTGGAAGTATTTACTTCATCTTGATCTGAAATTACACCAAGTCAAATACCAACCTCACTCAAATTCATACACTCACTGGTAAAAGTTGCACATACCCTTTTCAATATAGGCATCTGTCAAAGCAAAGCATGGTTCAGTAAATGCTACACAAGTTTAAGGGCAAGCGTGTGAACAGAAGAGTATTTAGAGTAGCATGATCAAACATTGTTATGTCCCTTTTAAAACTGATTAAGTTAAACTAGGCCTTCAGACTGTGCTGGTCCAAAGCAAGGCATCAGGCTAAGTATATGCTGTGGATGTCACTACTGTTTTACACTAAGTCTGTTCCTACTGGGCTGTCCTTCTTGCTAACGATGACATAATGAGTGTAAGTGGAAAAAAATGTTACTGTCATCATGCTCCTATCAATGATAGCCATTCAGGTTGGGGTTTGATGTACCTCTACTGCCATCACAACCGCCAACACATTTTCTTCTTGGCTATGTTGCCCACACCAGTATGCCAGTGCAAGTGGTTTTGCTACTACACAGAGAACTAGATCAAGGAATTTTTATAGTTGGATAAAAACAAAACACTTCCTTTTGTTTCTGGGAAAGGTTACCCAGTCTGGTTTGCCATGAACTAAACACAAATGCTTGTGTGAGCACACTGTGGGATGCTGACACTGCTTATTGAGGCACCTGTCCAACTACAGCATCAGAAAAAAAAAAGAAAAAAGCCACAGAAGGAAGCCAGTTGACATTAGCATTTCCTACAGAGCCAGGCAGATTCTCCCGTTATTAGGAATTGCGTGTCCCCTTCCAAAGCAAGGTTTGAACATGTTCTGCTCATAATTTTTCTTTTCCAATTCATACTCCTTTGACTAGTTAAACTTACCAGCTCAGAGCAATCTGAAATCACCCCTGCAGCCTCAGCACCTCAACTCAAAGTGACCAAAGCTCTGGTTCACTCTAGTTGATCTATTTATACTCTACCAGGAATTGCTTCCCTCATCTTTTCTAATTAATATTGGATGTTAGGAGACAAGATATTCTTAAGAGTTACTCTAAGCTTCACTATGTTGCTGTATTTTAAAAATTAATCAATATATATTTTCAACCTTACAAGACTTTGGCCCTCAGTACCTCCTATAAGGAATTTCCTTTCACCACAGAAAACTACTCACAGTATTTTGACTTTTTGGGTCCTTTCTGTTTGTTTCAAAATCCTCTGCTGTGGTATGCATGTAATGTACCCACAGAGATAGTAAGCTGTTTATTTTATGTACTTTTTCCACCACACTCTCTTTCCAGAGCTGGTTAAAGGCAGCTAAGTTCCTTATCATGCCCTTCACACTTATCAGGCTGAATCCCTCTCAAACTGCTCAGCACTTCAAACTAATTGGATTTTCAGTAATAGGAACCATTTGACCATCCTTGTTATAGCAACATGGATCCTGCTGAATTTGCATTTCTTCAGCTGCCTCACAGCATAGCACAATCAAGTCCTGCCTACCATTGCAAGTATATGCCCTGCTTTCTATACAACCTGTAAGCATATCCCGAAGATACACACCTCTGCTGTCACCAAGTCTCTACATGTAGCAGCTGAGCCAGGCATCTAAGTTCAAACACCAAGATCCTCCAAGCCTTGAGGTAATAACAGCCCTTAGAGCTCCAAACTGGATGAAGTCCTACCAGATTATGGCCATCGTTCCTTTAGAACACCATCCTTTATGGAGCCTGATTAGGTAGAAGAGCAAGAAAGCTGAGCCATCCAAGATAAACACATGTAACAGAAGATGTTCAACTCTGTCCTGGGAGAGACTTAATTTTACTAGGATCTCCTTAAACTGGGAGGTAAAGGTGAGAGGTAGGGAGAAGAAAAGCTATTTTTATTGCTGAAAGGTAGACTAATAAAAAGGAAAAAAAAAGGAACATAAAAATCAAACTCCAAATGCAAGCCAAAGCTAACATTCCTCACAGCTGGAGAATGAGCTGTGATGGAATCAGTATCACCATTATCTCTGATTTAAAGTTCTGTTCTATGACACATTCTGAAGTCTGAGAAAAGTAAAGATTTATTATTCTATCTCTATAGTACTACTAAAGAGGAGAGGTTTTATTTCTTTAAAAGTTTAGCCACAAGTAGTAATGACTTGTAAAATCTCTGCCAAAATTAAGGATGGAGATAGAAGAAAAGAAGTGCTCGTGTCACGAATTCTGTATCTTCTCAGTGACGTCACTAGAGTCTTTTTTGGGAAGACTACTAAAAATATGGATTACCCAACCCCTCAGCCAATTAAAGGATGTCAGAGGCTCATCCAATTTGACAACCTACTTTCAAAGAGATGAAGAGTCCTGATGAAGAATATAAAGCCAATTCAAAAATCTCATCTTGGCTCTAAGAAAGTAAGGCAGCCAGACTCATTTCCAACCCACTCCTCCTCCTCTGCATCCTGCAGGACAAAATGTTCCAGCAACAGCTCATCTCGCTGGGAAAATTTACATTTGTTTGAAACACTTCTAACAATTTCTCTTCTGTCTCTGGAAGTTCCATCTTGGATGGAGAAGAAAAGATCCAAGATTTTAGATGACTTCCCCATAACAAAAATGTAGGTGTTTCTTGATGATCACAATTCTACTTTTTTCTACCTATGGGATAAAGTTACCCAGTGACACAAAAGGTCATTCCATCTTTTCTGTTCCTTCACGTTATTTCGCATTCTCCACTCAGAGTTATATGGAACCCTTATTACCAACAATCCCATAAAGATGTACTTAGCCAGCTCCCAGCAGAAGAAAAGGATTAGCTGGAGTCAAAATTCCAATTCAGATAAGTAGGTCCTTTAAAATATTATCTCTGCTTCAGCGAGCCAAAGCAGCTAATCACCCCAGCAGTACGAACTCCAGATCTAGATGATTTTACTACTAGACTGTAGGTGAAAGAGACAATTTTTTGCCTCCTGGCACTTTAGGCAGTGTCCAAGAAGCATCACACAAAACTGATCAAGTTTTAACAGTGCATTGTCTGTCCCACCCTAGTTATGCTTGAAGTAAGTCTAAATTGGAAGACAAGCTTTTTAGAAACTGCTAAACTAACGCTTTATGCCAACTGAAAAAAGCTACATAACGTCTAGTTTCTTGCAATGCAAAATTCCAGCTTCCAAATGGAAAGAACATTCTACTCCCAAAACTACACATTATTTACCGCAGCGCTAAGAAGTTCACAGGGAGGCTAAGCATTCCTTGTAACATAAGTCTATTAATAATAACTTTTAGCCCAGAAAGGTTCTCGATAGCAGGCATTTAAAGAGAATTATTTGCACTCTATCCTTTTGAGCACTAATCTGCAGAGTAGTTATTCTGCAACCTTACAAAGTTCTACATCAAGTCTTAAAAAAAAAAAATCCATTTTAAATAAAGTTTCCTGCAGCTATAGAATTATCCATCAGTGTTTCAGGGGATAGGCACTGGAGGAGGACACCTCAGTTTGCAGCATATTATGCTTTAGGGATTGCCTCAATGCACAATTAAGTAGCACCCCTTTATTTTTTGAGGTTCTCTATAAAAAGTTTAAAACCAGGGTATTAGAACAACCGTTTCTGACCAATAGGGACAAAGAAAGAGTAGAGTTTATAACCCTAGTTTGTATTCTGCAGAAGTTGTTT